TTGGAGATTTCTCTGGTAATCCCCATTGAACAAATCTATGTGACTTTATAACACCAGGTCCGGAATTCGAGTATTCAGAAATCCTTCTGAACAAAACTGAATACTGGGAGCTCCTTAAAGGCTGGCTAGGTTCTGTGTCTACACTGCCAGCCAAGTGGAAGCTTTGCTACAGAGCAACTGATCATGGATGGAGTTCCAGTACATTCCACTCGCATTGCAACAGCTTAGGACCAACGGTGACGTTTATTAGAGTGGGAGAGTACATATTTGGTGCATACACTGACAGGAACTGGCGTAAGTAATTAGATAACCAGGACCTTAATAGAATGTAGAAATAAGCTGCGTATAAAAATTTAAAATCTAAAGGGGAAAAAGTACTGAGAGCCATCATAGGATTTGTGACTTGTCGGTAAAAGGGAACAAAGGAAATGTTTTGGAAGACGAAACAAATATTCGCAAAGAAATAACTTTGTCACAAACTCATCACCTGCTTTCATGTCTTAACACGTTTTTGGTTAACAACCTTACTCAAACATTTGATTGGTTGACAGCAGAAAAGTTATTTATTTATACGATTGCCACACCTCGTTGATTTTCTGCTCAACGCAAAAAAGGGGGGAAAATCAGTTTAATATTGGTTTTAATTTATCATGTGTTCAGAAGTTTAATTTTCTCTATCAGTTTTCTATGAATAGACAGCTTTCTTACAGTGCTAATCTATTTGAAAAAGTAGAGACTTGACTTAATCCTTTTAAGGAAAAGTTCTTTAACAGGAGTGATATTCCCTAAACAGAGGTTACACGGCATCACGGTAGTTAGTTTTAAACAATATAGAATGCCATTTTTGCTGTTATTTGAATTTGTCACCTTCATTAGTTCAAGCTCGTGATCATTTTTGATAAAATTGTTTTGATCTCCACTTGCGAGTAAATGTAATGTATGTATTTAATGGAAATTTTTGTAATACGTTTTAATGTCTATGTTTCGTTCCGTATTAGTAAGGATCAGTTCAACAACACTGGAATGCCATAATTTCTCTGAGGTATCAGCACATAAGAAAAACAAACTTAATGCCAGTTTCAAGCGCTCAAAACGAATATTGCAAAGAACGCAACCATAGCTGATTTCACACGGCCATTGAAGCATGAATATTTTTTTTCTCTGCTTTTAAATTCTTTCTTCGATAAAGCATTCATGTATGTGCTTTACAGCGTATTACTGATTAATTCCCTTTTTCTTTTTTTTTTTTTTTTTTTTTTTCAGATTCGGGCGGCTCATACACAGATTCCGTCTTTAGCTTCATATTCTCTTTTAAAAACCACTATGGACTGGAACCATTTAAGCTTCATGTTAAGAATAGTCAGCATGCCATATATGGCAACAACGGTTATGGCCCAACATTCGGTGGACACGATATTTACATCGCAAACTCTGCAGGCTACAACACGAATTCCTACACCAACTTGGGTCACAGTTATGTGCAGTTGGCCGGCTACCGGTACGGTTCAAGTGACACGAGAAGTTTGTTGGCCGGAAGTTACAATTTCCAGCCTCATGAAGTTGAAGTGTTTTATCAGACTCACAAAGGCTAATATTTCTTTGAGTATTTTAGATGCTAAATCCTCTAAGGAAGAAATACAAATGGTTGAAGTAGTTAATTAAAAGAGAATGTAAAGGCAATAGAGTAACCGAGACTGTTTAACTCGTAAATGGTTATAGCTTGATTAGAGAATTGTAATCCATGAGGATAATGGACAGAATTTGTACGTTATCACGTTCTGCCTAAATTCCAATAAACCTTTGCAACAAATTTCTCACGTCTATGTGCTTTGATTCTCAAAATAATTCTGGAATATCTTCTAACTAGAAGCATCATGATTTAGAAGTATTTTACCAGGCTCACAAAGATTAAAGTTTATTGAACATGCCACGACTCTAAGAATTTTAGGTGGTTAATTCTCTTAGGAATGATTTAATCAAAAGAAAATCTAGAAGCAATACCGGCATGTTTAGCATAATAGCCCTAACATTTCGCGTATGTCGCTTCGACCAAAATATTAGAGCAAAACGGAATGCAAAAATGGTAAGTTGATTTTGTAGGATAGAAGTGTTAGCAAAGAGACATCATTTATTCAACACCATTTTGTCTACAGAAAACCTTTGCAAAAACAGTTACTGACGCTTGATGTATTTCATTTCATTTACAACTTTAAAATATCTTAGCCTCAAGCATCGACCCTTGTGACAAACTCCCCTGTTACCTCATTAAGATATTTTTTAGTAATGAATTCATCTCATCATTCGCCCTCCCTAGTGAAAGGAAAACTCGCAGAACATAGTAAAAAAAAAGACAGTAGAACGCGAAAAACAAATTTCAACGTCACTTTAGAATGGTTATAGAAATTTTTAGAAAATGTAATGTGGTGTTGCCAAAATCTCCATAAAATTAAAGAATGCATTTAATTTACTGACTCTCGAGCGAGTACCGTACATTTAAGGTGTTGAAAATCACAGGTAAAAGACAGAGGAACAAATGATAATCAGATTAGAAAGAAATATGGTACCAATTCTGCAAGGGTACTTTCAAACGAAAGTGTTTATTTGAAAATGCTTAGCGCTTGTTTAATTGACCGTTAGGACGTGCGGGGAAGTTTAAAGCGCGGTCTAGAGATCGAACTGGAAACCTCTTGAGGAAAATTTCTATGTTATAAGTTATTTCATTGCGATTTCCTATGGGAGTGCCCTGTGAATACGGGATTTGAAAAGATAAACACGGCTAAGAGCTCAATTTACTATTTGCTCGCATGCAGTTATGCGCGTATTGAGGCGATAACATTCATCTTCTGATGCTCTCCATGTATTCCTCTTCCGACTCGTTCATTTCTCCTGTTCATGACATTGGCATGCTTATTCTTTATCTTCTTCTTCATATATTTCCGATGATACTGGCAAGGATAATTTTTTTTTAATCATAAAGAGCTTCTTCGATCGGGAATCATTCAATTTCTTATCTTGATGTGCTAATGTTTGATTCAGGGGTGGTCTTGTAAAAAAGAATTAGATGTGAGTCACTTTAAAGGGTTAAAACGTCGATTGACCGCTTCACTGTTGGATACCCGCCATATTCATTAGTCTAACCAAGAAAATGCATCATAGAAGTGTAACCGACTTTCGCTTGCACTAGCATCCTTAATCCTTTACGCCCTAACATCAATATCCATAATCTCCATACTTTTTTCTGTACATTTATTTTGTTACTGACAAGGAGAAATCAGTTAACCATCAGAGTTTCTCGAGTTGACAATCATTTCCTTTATTGTCACGATCTTTTTAAAGATTCGGCAGCATTACAGTAAGGAGAAATTAGATGCTGGTCACTTTTAGGGTTTAAAGGGTTATACTTTAGTCTGTTCAGCGGCGTAGAATTATTAATCAGTCCGTTTTTCGTCCTTTCCAAATTCTTTTCCAGCCTGTCAATTGTTCTGTGACTTGATTTACTTTCAGGCAAATTGAATTAAAAAAAAATAACCCTCCTCTCGCACTTCGTACTCGCTTTTAACTCACATCGAGTAAACTTCCCTCACTCCCGGCCTGATTTTTGAGAGACAGTAAAATCTAGTTCAAACATTTTTTGTTGAAGCTGCTTGGCATTGTAGTTATGTGGAAGAAGTCGTTGATGACCTGATGTCAGCATTGAAATTGCGCTTATGCAAAATAAAGAGGACAGAAAAACACTGCTTGTGTGGCTTTAACGATGACAATACCTGATAGACAAATCTAGTCTTTGTTGCGTTTATTCTAGAAATTAATGGCGAAAATCGACTGATAAAGGAGAAAAGATCAAGAAACACAACGAGGAAAAATCTCGCCGCTTCAACCCCATCACTGTCTAATCTAATGGTTCAGTGATGATGACATATACTCCCGAGTGACTAAAGAAGAATTTCTCCGGCCTTGCAAGATCAATGCATTTTTAACAAGAATGTTGATGAGAAAAAGGAAAATATCAATCAAAGGATGTTGTTTAATTTAACATCAAGTTTCCCAAACAAAAATCAAGAGAAAAGTATGAAAGATAAGAAAAATGATTGATGTTTCGAACTTGGAAGTAATATTGTTAACCCTTTTTAACTCCTAAGATCTCATTAGTAATTCTCCTTACTGTCTGCCATACGATTCTCATTATGTTAGTTTGGAGAATTTGTCATTGGATCAAAAAATAATCCCTTAATTAACATTTTTCTTTATTCTCATCACTTGTTTACTTGATATTGTCTTGATATTGTGAGGAGAAATTCTCTCTTGGTCACTCATGGGAGTTAAAGGGTTAATGACGCAGAATTTGGACAGCACGGAATGCTGATCTTTATCAGAGGACATGTTCAGCTGTTCCGCTTCTGGATGAAAACGGAAGAATTATTTCTAATTATGTCACCAACAGGAACAAATTGGTTTTTTTTAAATTCCTCATAGGATAACATAACGCAGCCAGTCTACGAAACCATGACCAACATCGCTTAGCATGATTAGATTTTTTCTATTTTCATACTTTGTTCTTAGTATTATTCATCTCAGGCCTGTTTATGCAGCATACGTTACATGCTCAGCATTGTCAAGCAACTTTAAACGACAAAGAATTTTCAACCTTGAGAGGTGGATTAGCAGTACTTTAAAATCTATCCTTGGAAAGGTCGCGGTTTAGTTATCACGTAAGGCGGACGTGATGCTAAAGTGGTTTTTTCTTGTCATGCAAGGATATCTTAATTTTATTTTGAAGTTTTTTATCACATAACCCTAGCATACAAAGTATTACCAAGTGCTGACTGATAAAAACAGTAAAATGTTCTTCGTCACGGATACGCTATGATCATTAACGTGATCCTGGATAGTTTTATCTCGAGAGAGATGTGTTTCAGCCTGTTACGCAGAGATCTGTTTCCTGCCAGAATCAATGACAGAGGCACGTCTCAGTTACACAAGCTGATTCCTGTCAGCTGACATTCTATCGCTGTCATTTATGCCTCGAACATCGAACAAATATCCCCTCGGGAATCCTGAAGATCGAAACTGCAAAAATGGAGGCAGTGAAGACTCCTCGACGGAACAGTTTCTTAACTGTTGCCGTGACTGTGAACATTTTGTTCAGTGCTGTTTCCATCGCGTTCCTCATTTACAAAGTTCGAGTGTTAGAGGAGCACGTTTTACAGCTTCAGGACGACCAGAGATATCACGCTGAGGCAACTAAAGAAAATGAACGGGCAGATTTAACGCATCGAAACAAGAGAGCTGTTGAGTCTCTTGGAATGTCAAAAAGCTGCAGCAGTTGCCACGATGCTTGCGTTCACTTATTTGGACTCGGAGCTTCTGCAAAGGTACTACCATGCTCTTTCTCGCTAAGCGTAAAGTTGCATGTTTAATGCTAGCGTTTTCAGGGTTTCTTGCTCAAAAAAAGGTAAAATACCTTTGAAATTTGGAGTTTTTTTCGCGTACCTAATAAACCATACTTTTGAGAAGACAAATATATGTGATAAAGTTTTTTTCTTGAGACCTTCAATACATAATTGTTTCATAGCATAAATGTCGTAAGATCGTTCTCAGCAAATTAATTCATATTTTTACGATCATCGAGGTCTTTACCACATCAACGTATTGACAGTTTTCGGTTTCTCTGCATTTTCTTCCTGCCATATTTAGGTTACTACTAAAATTAGCAATGACACAGATCAGGAGGTTATCTGCTTACGAGGTGAGGGAGTAGTTAATATTTAAATTATCTTTATTTTATCTATACACGGCTGAAATTCAACAGGAATTCTTTAGATTCTTAAGCACTATGAGAATTCTTACCATGGAAACAATACAACTTATTCTAAAGCATCATAATGCTCACAGGGCCTGCTCTACGTAAAT